TTGGCTAGACTAAGTCCAGTGTTGACTTAGTGGCTAAGAAGCTTGTAGAAGTTTAAAAGTTTCTAATGGCATGTTGTCACCTCAACCTTGGATTCCGGAAATTTCTAGAAGGTTTAGCTAGGCCAATGGCATGTTGCCACATAGAGAGGGTTAATCAAACTTACCTACGTAAAAGTAAGTTAGGAGAAATTACCACATGTTACTATGGTAACTTCTCAAGTAATATAAATAGAGAGGTAGAGTAGCACCTCTCAAGCAAGTTTTGGAGAGTCATGTGTGAGTACTTGTTTCAGTAATGAAGGAGTGAAGTTTTTGAGTATCTTGGAGTATCGACGTGTGTTTGCGTTTATATGAAGAGAGTGATGAGAGGAGAGTTTGTGTGTGAGTTGGAGTGATACATGGAGAGTTTGTGAGAGAATCTGTTTGGGACATGAGTGAGAGGATGAATCCTAGTCTTCTAGAACCATGATGCGCTACCGCAAAGCCATCAGAGGTAAACCTGAGTGAGAGTCAGCCCGGAGGTTGCAGTCCACGGCTGGAACATTTGAAAGGTTTATTGATCACTAAATGCACAATGCATCCGGAGTAGAAGTCTTGGAGGTATATATATACCAGACGCCAACGACACATCTACCTATAAACAATTATAACCTGTTAATGTCAAATTTTTTTTAGTATAATTTCTTTTTTCAATTAAATTATAATGTCATATTTTGGTAAAATTTAAAATTGGTTATAATTATGTATTTGACCTTTTTTAATTAAATAAAAATTGAAATAATGATTATTTAAGATGAAAAAAAATTTGACTTGATTTGCACTGAATTATCTATAATTATCATGTTAGCAATTTGTGTGCTAGATAGATGTATTTGCCATGCCATAAGATTGTAATGAATGATGGAGGTGAAATTTTACTTGATGATATAATCTATATAATAAAAAAGGAAGCATTTTAGATGAATTACATCTTCAAAAATTTTGTTTCAATTTTGTTCAATTTTGTTTCAATAATGAAGTTTTTCTTTCATATGACTTCATGTCATTGGAAAGCATCATAATAGATGTACATTGTTGTTTGGATTGTAGGATTTATAACTCAATTGATGAACAAAAAGATGTCATTGATACTTTTGTGAATTAATTACTGAAAGATATCAAATTGCATAATTTATAATATAGATTGTATATTTCATGATTTTCAGTCTTACATCATTCACTCCAACTAGATTGCACACACGTATGTAGAAACTAGAATAATAACTAATATAAAATAATATGAATTTATCTTGACTAACAATTGGGAGAAAGTTGTATTAACATCAATTTTATTTTTGTGATGTTTATTTTGGGTGCTTGAATAGTAATCATATTTATTTTAAATTAGAGTATATGATAGAAATAATGGGAATTCAATTGAATATGATTGAGATTTTAGATATGATCATGAATTGCATAAAAGATAAAAAATTGTAAAATAATATATAAAGCAGCAAATCATGAAAGATAATTTTTCTTTTATCAAAAACAAAATCAATTAAAAAGAAGATCTTTCACTAAATTGATGAAGTAAAATATGTCATTGATAATTTTGAGAATTTGTTATTGAAAAATATCAAACTAAAAAAATTTAAATTTCTTTGGGATAATTATGGAATCACACACAATGAACTGTCAAATAATGTTTCATTATGTCCAACATCAATGAAGTTAAAAAAGCTTCAAAGTAGGGAAGGTCATAACCTTCCCTACATTGAAAAGAATCACCATTAATGTTTGGAAGAATAATGTATTGATCATTGATTTTAAATCTTAAAAAAGATATGCAAATAATTTAATGGCCTGACAAAGAGCAAGAGTTACTGAAAATTATCACCGTCATGCATGTAGGAAGATATGTTACATTCTCAACTTTTGTTAAATTTGATCAAAATCACCAAAAAAATTAATGCATCAACAATCTTTCAATAATATGGAGAACATTGAATACAAAAAAATGATAAAATTGTTTTGAGTATCAAAGATCACTAGTTTATTTGCATTGTAACTTCACTAAATCTATAAAATGAAAAAAATACAAGGTTGAAAAGACATAATGATTGGGAGCTTATGAAACAAGCTATTGACAAGTCCAATTGATTTTCAAAGGTAAGATGATGAAAGAACAAAATATGAGAGTTTTCATTGATCTTAGAATAACAAAAAGAAATTTTTGACGATTAAAATTGACATTGATGAAGAACGAAAATGAAAAAATTAAACTTTCAAATACATAAATAAAAGCAAGAAATATATCATGAACAACCTGAATGCAAAAATTATATTGCCAAATTGACAAACTGAAAAAATAAAGATATTATTACAAAATGGTAAATCTTTTATCGATATAACATTTTAAATGTACAAACATATGCTTAGTTCAATATGATGCCAACCTAAATATATCATCAATGGAGTATTATAATTCAAAATAAATTGAAATAGGAAAATGATAAAAAATGATGATTGAAATATTTACTAAGGTAGATTAGAATTTAGACTAAAAAACTAACTATCTTTGTGATTGATAAAACATACCATTTATATCTTACAAATATTTTTTTCAAATTTAAAAAATAATATTGTTGGATCCAAAAACAAACTTTATTTTCTAAGTATCTTAAATGATAAATCTATATAATATAAAAATGAGTCTTTAGATAATCTATAAATATGAATACCATCAAATAGGTTTTTGGATCACAAGATTGAGGTGATAATTAAAATTTTTGAATATTTATATAGTTTGATTTCAAACCATTTAGAAGAATGAAAAGTTCAAATGAAGTAAGTGCTAAGAAAAAAATCTATACATCCATATGTTTCAGTATACGGAGCACTGATTATATTTGTGAACAAGAAAGATTTCTGAAATTCTGCATAGATTATTGTGGATTGAATTAATAAAAGATGACAAATAATTTATTATTTCACATGAACTACTTGTTTGAATAGGTTCAAGAAAAGAAGTATTTCAACAAAATGATCATGAGAAGAGATTATAGTTAATTTTAAATTGTGGATGAAGATCTTCACAAGACATACCTTCATAACTAAGTATGTTCATCTTGATTATATATTGATGCTTTTTGATCTCATTAATACACTTATTACTTTCAATAATTGTAAATTTTTTTAATCTTATTCTCAAATTTATAATAAATTTTGAATGATAAATTGACTATTTGACATTTATTTTTTTAGATATTCAGAAGTAATGAAAAATGTAGTAAAGTTTCAAATGTGAATTTGGAAAGTAAAAAATATATTTTTTGAACCATAAAACTATAGAAACCTTTTATCTTTTTTAACTTTATGGGGTTTTTAACTAACCCCATAAAGTTAAAAGGTTGTGCAACAATTATATTCTATTATAAACGGAGTGAGATTTGTAATAATATGTAGTTTGGTAGAACTAATGTAGATATTAGGTTAAAGATAACATTTACATTTTGTAAATTATCTATAGTTGACATGTTCATGATACGAAAGTGGTTCCTAGATAAAAGTTAAATCTATATACTAGACTTAGTTTTTGTTAAAAACAAATACATGCTGTACTTTTGAAGGGTTATGAAGACCTTGTGATATGTATGCCAAATTTCTGGAGAAAAAGATGTGGAACTTTTTGCATAACATTCGTACTTTTTGTTTTTCGCTTTGCTCTTTTCCCAACATAAGGACGAAAACCCGCCCGGAAACCAAGAAATAATAACTGATTAAAAGCCAAAAGAGATCCTTTGGGGGGTAAATTGACCCAAATATTGACGAATCTCACATATTATTAAGAAAATAGTACCTATAATACATGAGATTGAGATAGATAGTTCTTTCAAACACTCGCAAGTTTATTCGAATGCGGCTCAAGCAACGAAGAGGTTAGCCCCGGATCTAATTGTTTAATTTTTGAATTCTATAACCCTATATCTAAAATGATGATTTCACCTCTCCCTGGGATCGAGATCCTAAGCCCTATATTTGTCAGTTTTCGGTCAGGTTTTTTCTTTTTTTTAAAGAAAATAACAGTCTTTTTTTGTCTGACAGTCCCCTGGGACCTTTGCTTTGATGGACAGGATTTTGGTTTTTTGCTCTCCGACAAAACAAAGTCCAGGTTGCCTAGGACCTCTTCCTAGAGTCAAAAGTGAAACAGATTTTTTTTTTTAATGATTATAGAACAGATTTTTTTCCAAAGAGCCGGCTGACGAAGAAGGCAAGTAAAACATCTGTGGGTACTTGAAAAGCTACCCTTAGTTCTATGGACTACCAACCAGAGGCCGACATTTTACATCAAATCTGCACCCATACCAGACCATGACCATCAGCACCGACCTAAGCCCATCCATAGCATTACCTGTGCCCCCATGCTATTCAAATTACACCAATTCTCGGTTGTATCTAGACAACCGCTGTCCTTAGCATTACTTGTGCCCACCCATGGAAAAATAATGTTACCCAAAACCCATGGGTAGGTTTGGGCATGGGCACCCAATGTTGGGCTCTGCTACCAACACGATTTGTTTAAACTTCCTAAAGAACCTAAATTATAAATAGAATAGATTCACGGAAAACGCGAAATAATTTGTATAGGGAACGAGTGCGTTTCTTACTCGTGTTTTGGAACTGATATTTGGCAACTTATATCAGTTACAACGATTCATATTATTAGTAACTACTAGTTAGTATTTAGGTGGAACAGTTACAGTACGTAAACTATCCTCTGACGCCCCTATTCAAAAGAGAGTGCAATAAACTGTCATACAAGCAAGGAGCCGGACTGCTTGGGAGACTATCACTGATCATGTCCCACGCCGTACGGCTCCTTGCTTGCACTCAGATGGAAAATTATTACGACTTAAAGACACGTTGTGTTTCTCATCATCGATTTGAAACATCCCTGTTAACTGTTTTTTGCATGGACACTTTAGCATATCCCTATCATAACAACCGGGCAAAGATACTTTATCTTATTTTATTATTTTATTTTCGGCTTTTTGCCCTTTCCTTATCGTACACGAGAGACTTGTGTATAATCGAAACCGAGCCATGAGGTGCGCGTATAAGAGGCAAAGATATCCGATAGTCTCGGCACAAGAGAAGACCAACACTCGGAGCGACAGTTCGGAACAATGGTGACTGCGGTGTATGTGGTGCTCTTCCTGAGCGCGGTTGCCTTCCATGCCTTGGCTGCAGAAGACGTCAACGTCGATGTGATCATCATCGGAGCTGGAATGGCAGGTATTTATCTTCCATCTCTTCGTATTGACACGATATGGTAATGAGGCGGCCAGTCCATGATCTGGTCAAAGCGTGCAAAAATTTTTCGAACATCCTCAGAAGACAAACTCTGGCGAGGACTGCCCCGGAGATTAGGCTTCGCATGAAGTATGATCTGCGAGGTTGAAGCTGCTGCTGAAGCAGTTCTGACTGAACTGACAGAACTGCAGCTTGTCCGGATGCTGTCCAGCACTCTAAACACCCGGAGTCAAGATTTGCATTCAGATCTGCATACTGGGCCTAACGTCGCTCGGTCACACGCGTGAGAGTTTTCTTACGTCCTCCTCATCTGATTATAGCTCAGCACTAAAACCGAAATACAGGTTTATCCCAAATCTTGAAGAACAATCTGTACCAGTTCACCATACACGGCACATGTTCACAAGCGATTAAAGATTCGTCCAGTGGCCATTGCTAATTTAAAGCGCCACATTGTCATCTATTACTTCGTCAATCTGATTCCGAAGAGATAGATCTGAGATATTAAGAGACCGATGCTGCACTCGTTCTCGTCTCTTACATTCTTGTCGATGGTAGCCCTCGTTGGTGTTTCCTCGTCCTCCTTGAGCATACGAGGTTATTCTGTCAGAGAAGTCTTGAGAATATGCCAAATATTTGCCATGCAGAGAGCCGGACGTGAGATCATAAACTATATTTTTGGTTCCAAGTGAGTCGACACGAGAGAATATGAAAAGCCTAAAAAACTTCTAGTGGTCTAGTATTATTGTCCGATCATTCAGAGAGGTTACGGAGATCGCTCAGAAATACTTTGGTACTCTGCAGTATGAGCTTGAGGTGTGCATGTGTCCTGACAAATAATGTGGCAATAACGTGGAGCTGTGCACGCAATGTTGTGTCCTGACAGGAATCGCCGCCGGCCGGACCTTGACAGAAATGGGAATCACGAACTTCGTCATATTAGAAGCCACAGACCGAGTCGGAGGCCGAATCAGAAACACCGACTTCGCCGGCATGAAAGTCGAGATGGGAGCAAACTGGGTGGAAGGTGTAAACGGGAAGGAGCTGAATCCTGTTTGGGATCTAGCTAAACAAGTCAATCTGCGCACTATTTTGACAGACACCTCGAATCTCAGCAGCAACGTCTACGACGCTTCGTAAATATCTCACTTTCTCCTGACCTGCAGCCTCTCACAAAATTTGGTCGAACACTTAGCTAGCATTATGATGTTAAGATCAATAAGCGATAAGCGGACGAGTCCTTTCTGCACGGAGGTCATGAGTCTCGATTCTAGAGACCTCTCACCGAGAGCGAGATAGCAAGGCTGGAAGAGAGTCACGTACAGTCAGTACATTGTTTCGGACGATGAAAAGTCACGTGAATTTGATTCTCATAATGCCTAGAAGCTCCAGTTAATGCAGCTGCCGGCGAAGGTGAGATCCGATAGCGAAGTGTGTCCTTCTGCAGAACATCGGATGCACGCGTGATTCGCTTCGTTACATCTGTGAGCGAGGGGCGCGATGCTCTCGACGACGATTCGTCACAAATCGCGAGTATCTCGTGCATGGTACATCCACGTTGCCCCGAATCCCTGGAGCTGCACCCAACGAACTCCGCAGTTCCAGATCCGAGTCCAGTTGGGGTTGATCCAGTCACCAGATTCCGGGTCCTTGTACCTCCCCTCCCCCTTCCCTCCCATCTCCTCTCCCGCCGCCGCCCTCAGACTGCCTTGAATGCAGATGCTGGTTTATGGACACTCGAGATTATCAGTCCCATTCCAGTACCTCTCAGTTTCACCGACTGTCCTCCGGATAACTCGATGCTCCACTCCGAGTGTAGATCTGTGGAGAAGATCGAGCCTTGAGATCTACGTGCGGTTTTCTACGGCGAAGAGCTCAGACGAGGCAACGATTCCTCCGTCGCTGCGGTCCCCCCCACCTGTCGGAATGATGTTAGTGCTACTCGTACATTCTGTCAGACTGGCACTGGCGTTACTGGCGAATCCTGTCATATTAATAATGGCGTTATCGCAAAAGAGACGCTTGTATTCTCGGACATCTGCTTTTAGTAAGGTCAAATTCAGAGGTCGGGAAAATGTCATCGAGTCTGACGAGAAAGAAAGAACCGGCTGACGCAGTTGTCGTCATGCATTTATGTGTTGTGTGACTTTAGGGTTGGTCTAAACATGATGCCCTAAACATTGGGGGGAGGGATTTATTTGGTAGAGAAGCGGAATCCTTGAATTTCGTTCAGTGATGGACTTCTGTTGTATGCAATCAGGGGTGCTCTGCCGCCACAGATTCAAGCTCAGGCTATGGCAACGGCTCAAAATGAATACGTCAATAGCTTGAGCGCGACTTTGACGGCTAACAACGATGACGACGTCTCGGTCTTGACGGCGCAGCGTCTGTTCGGAAGGTACACTCGCTAAACCCTCCAGAGATTTTGTTTAGTGCCCCTTTCGAGGAAATGCACTTTGGCAGTTTGTCCATGCCATTCGTGCGTCGTTCAAGCTGCAGCTATATTGGGACATGAGCAAATGGCGGATATACAGATTATTCAGACCGCAATGGACACATCGCCAAGCTCGAGTAAGAATTCTTAGGACCTGAATACTGGACTGTGAAGTGGTAGCAGCAGAGAGCAGTCTACGAGATAGAGGGCAATGTTAAGAGCGGCATATTTGGTTTCCTTTCTCTTCGACGTGCGGGCAATGCAGCTGCTCGTGATGATCCAGGCGTCGCCTGGATCCAAGATTATGGTGGTTGTCGTTGTTCATGTTACTCACAGACTGTTTGCATTTCCAGTGTTGCAAGCACTCCAGTGGAGATGGCCCTCGACTATCAGCTCTACGATGGAGAGTTTGCAGGTACGTGGCCTGCAGCCATAAAACACATCCAAGCAGCCATTGACCGACACAGGCAGATGACTTAAATTCTGGATTCTTAAATTTAGTACTTTATGCTGAACTTCCGCGAACATAAGCAACTATTTGCGGCAGTCACATACTTCCTGCATACTCCAGATATTGAAATCGGGCCTTGATATTTGCTTGGTCTTGTAGAGCCACCGAGAGTGACAAGTCTGAAGAATACTCAGCCACTGCCCACTTTTGAGAACTTCGGGGAGGACAGCTACTTTGCAGCAGACCCTCGGGGATTTGCCACCATCATTCAACCCGTGGCATCCTACCTCAAGAACACAAACGGGACTATCGAGGATCCTCGTCTCATGTTGAACAAAGTTAGTTCACCTCTCTTCGTCATTTGTGTTTTACTCTGCATTCTTCAAACCAGATATAAGCTACATTGTATGCAGCTCCCGAAAACCAAGAGACCCCATGTCGCTCGTTACCACATTTGCCTGACTCAGACAGAATTTGAATTCCAGTCTCGCTCAGTTCCAAGCAGGGCGGTGCCAGGGGATGGACTGGGCTGAGGCTGCATCCTACTCCATCTGTGCCTCGTCCTACCGAGACCTCCTGTTTCTTTTCCATGGTGATAATCAGAGCTCCGGAAATCATGATATCAGAGTCCATCATATTGACTTTAAGTGACTGACTGCCACTTCTTGTACATGCACTGCCAGGTCGTGAACAAGATTGCATACGGAGATTGGGGGGTTTCTGTTTCCACAGAAGATGGAGCTACTTACACTGCCAAGGCAGCTATCGCTACCGTCAGCTTGGGAGTGTTGCAAAGCAAACTGATCAACTTCGAGCCTGACCTACCCGTAAGCGTTGAATCGAGTTTTTTTCAGACAAAAACACTTTATTGCTTTGAAGAGGCCAAGTTCTTTGATCCAAGAATTGTACTTTGTGGACTTGATAAACCCAGTGTCTCTAAGTATTTAAGAGTCACGTATATTCTTACCCCACTGATTTAACTAATGTGATCTTTGCAGTTCTGGAAACTTGAAGCCATTTTTGAGTTCAACATGGCCATCTACACCAAAATCTTCTTGAAGTTTCCAAGCAAGTTTTGGCGCACAGATCCAGGAACCGAGTTCTTCTTATACGCTGATGATAGCAGAGGATACTACCCAGTGTGGCAGGTACGCTTTCTTGAGATTCTCTGTCGTTAAGAAGTGCCACTCATTTTCAATCATAGAAAATTTGTGAAAGATCTCTGTCTCACATCTGAGCTCGAGTCTTGTCTGCTTACCTCCATCATCTTGAGAAAACTGGAGCGCAAGTTTCAGACGATTATTGCTGCAGTGCACTGACCGATTATACTGGATTTGCGCAGCATTTGGAAAGGGAATTCCCTGGTTCCAACATCATTTTTGTTACTGTTACTGATGACGAGTCCCGAAGAATCGAGCAGCAATCCGACAACCAAACATTGTCTGAAATTATGGACGTGTTAAGGAAAATGTATGGCCCAACCATTCCTATGGCCGAAGAGATTTTGATCCCCAGGTGGTGGAGTAACAGATTCTTTAAGGGCACCTTCTCTAACTGGCCTATTGGTGTAACCAGCCGCGAGTTTGCAGAACTCCAGGTTTGTTTTGCCATCACTCGCATTTGATGATTCAGTCGGAATATAAAAGCTTTCTTTCGTTTTGGAGTCTCTCGAGTGCTCACAACATGACAACAGTACGCATTGCAATTTTATCCTTATTTTAGTACTCTGGAGGGTAGCTCTCTTGTCGATCTCCTGCATGCATGGCATCACACGGTTGTGCCATAGAGCGCTAGGTAGCAACAGTGGACAGCCTCAAGACTTGAGCTCGTTATGCATGGGGAGTTGGGTCAGATCGAAATTGGTTGCAGGAAGTTGGAAGCTTCGACATCAAAAACCTCTTCACATGGATTTCTCAACGTCTTTTCGTTTGTTGCTGCAGGCACCCATTGACCGACTCTACTTTGCGGGAGAACACACCAGTGCTGATTACAATGGATACATCCATGGAGCTTATTTCACAGGTAGATCAAGTCACAGCTCTTGCAAGGTTGAGAGCACCAGGCAGAACTCCTTCATCATAATTTAAGAACTGTTTTACACATTTCTTCTTCTCACTCCACACATTCTTACATCAAATGCAGGTATAGATGCTGCCAAGTCCGTAGCCACGTGCTTGAAGCAAGGCCAGTGCGTGTCTGGTTCAACTAAGCAGAAAAATAAGACGAAGGGTAAGAAGCTGATGGAGGCATCAGTGTGCGCTGCACCAATCAAGGAGGTACGTACAATTCTCAAACTCATATTGACCTGGGAGAATCGAGAAATGTCTACTTCATATGCATTTGATATTACTTCAGAAAATGAACCTTACAATCCAGGACGGGTAAACAAGATCGAGGATCAAATAGTCTATTCACATCATTATGAAATCATTCCTAACAAAATGTGATCCCCCCTGCACATTGAGCTTTAGATTTTCTAGATTGTTGACCGTGTGCACAGCTAGCTAATATGAAGCTTTGCCTTGCCTTGCCTTGCCAATCGTGAACAGGAACTAGACGCACAGAGACAACACTGGGTAAAGAAGGTTAAACTCGTCGAGGAAGCTCTAGCTGCAAAATGCGCTTAATCGTGCTCATGGCCCAGTGAACATTGGGAACGCTGTCTCTAGCTGCAAGATTTTTTTAGTGGAGCATGCTGTCAAGAATGAATAATAGGAAGTGTAGATGCATCCCTTTCTACGGAAGTTGTCGACCCTCTCTGTAGAGAACCGTGCGGATGCTTTCTCCTCCCCGAAATTTGTAATCTGCCTTCTTCATTCTGCCTCCACGGATTGTTGGAGATTACATAAAGTGAGATGGGATCCAGTATCTGCCCTCATCTGATCAAGATAATTGAATCTGTGTACTTTGTCTTTCTAGATGTGCGGCATTGAGAGTAATTTCTGGATCATCAAAAATATGCTCGATCTGAATTTTTCTATGCTCCTCTTCAACATTTTCTCGCAGTAATAAAGAAAAGTTGGAAAAACAAAAAGTCCACACAACCAGCAGGATGACAAGCAAGAAGAAAATCTTTCAAAGTTGCATGACTTTGAAAACCAAAAGTTGAAAGTAGTGGACACGGACTCGGACTACTCAGTAACCGCTCACTCCGACATCTGCATCATCACGGAGTGCGCTTGGCAGCGCGAGGGCGAGGACAGGATGTCGCTCGTCGAGAGAAATTTCGCCCTATTTGAAAATCTATATTCCCAAGCTCGTCAAATAGTCCTCACACCATGCTGCTGGTCGTCACCGACCCGGTGGACATTCTCTCGTGGCTTTCCTGGAAGCTCTCGTGCTTGCCTCCCAATCGAGTCATCGGGTCGGGAACGAATCTCGACCTCGCGATTCCATGCTCTGCTAGAAAAACTTTCAGGCAACCATCGTCAGCATGACAGCTCTGTCCCTCTGTGATCTGGGGTCACTGTGGGAGGCATCCCATTGGCGGCCTTCGAGAAAGAACACTGGATTACGACCGATCCTGAAGTGTTCACCAAAGCTCTCAAATACGTTAGGTTGATGGGGCTCAAGGGTGAGGTGATAAAGCTCAAGCGTTACACATCCTGGGCCATAGGATCAAGCTTGGTACACATTTTATACTCCTTGTGTACGACACAAGGAACCAGATTTGTGCAGTATGTACCACAGCTGCTGCACTTAAAGCTCTCCACTCCTACCCCAGGGCCTTCCAGCTAAACCCTTCGTTTGCCTCCTTTCACTTTCTGCGAGCTGAATACTCCGCTCAACAGCACTCCTTGTAATGGTTATGGTAAATTGTGCTCTGTCCCCTCCGACTCTGAAAAGTCCCTCGACGTTGTTGTTAAATATCCCCCGATTACATAACTCTTCATCTGCCCGTCTGTCCATGCACCTGGAGCTCTTCGCCTTGGGCTCCGGACTCGGGTTTTGACTGTTCATGGAAGGTACTGTCTGCGCAGAAATCAACCCTTCCCCTTGTGCTCGTATGTACGACCCCTTCGTACGACCAATTTCTGGAATCCTGCCTGGGACTGGTTGGCTCTGATTCACATGTCGGTCACTCGCTAGCGATTAAATGTCCCAACGGAAAAGCAGAAAGAGAGAAGCACAGCGGCAGGATAAGGCTATTTGGTAGCATGCAATCACAAGGCTATGACCCATCATTTGTCGAAGACCGCGCTTAGATGCTCTTTTTCGCACACACGTGACGAATGAAGTCAAGGTCATCTCTTAATTGCAGATGAGTTTTTCGTTTTCCACATGCTGGACGAAAAGAAAAGTTCACTTCAAATACCTTAAAGAAAGGAGGTATTCACTTGATGGACTTCTAAGTTGAGGTTTTCATATAGGACCCCACTCACCATACACGTAAAGTGTGTTCTAGTTTCAACAGACAGCGAGACTTTCATCATGTGATTGAACTCATCGCACATCATTGAATCTCTCATATCTCCACTTAGTGCAATCACACATTACACTTTTTCGTCCCAAATTTCCCATTGCACCAAAATGCTAAAATTAATTAACACTCGAATTCACAAGTATTCCACAAGTTTACTTTTGCTCACCGGATACGAATTTTCGATAACTCAAAGCGTTTGTGCACTTGTGACAATGTCTGTTACATTTCATCCTTTTACGTTTTGCTACCGCACAGATCCATTGAAACCCGCATCATATGTATACAGAGATACATTATAGAAGTTCGCGACGGTATGCCCTCGGTGGGGTCCATTGGACAAATCAAGGAAATAACTCTCACCGAAAGTCTACCGTGCCTTTCTCCTACACTAAGAATGATCTTAACTGTGGGACTTACAGTAGTCGAGATTCAAAAGGAGATAGTGTCATTAATTTGAGCCATCAATTGTCGAAAATCACGTTCAGATGCTCTTTTCTGCACATACGGTACGACTGAAATCAAGGAGTATTGAGCACGGTCTATCTCTCAATTGCACCTGAGCTTTTCGTTTCCCACATGTTGGAGGAAAAGAGTTCACTTCAAATACCTTCACCAAACGGCTACCCTGCCTATCTCCTACTCCAGGAATGATCTTTAACTGTGTGACATACAGTAGTCGAGATAGTGTCATTGCTATGAGCCATCGATTGTCGAAAATCGACTGTCGACTGTCGATACATACAGAAGTCGAGATTCAAAAGGAGATCGTGTTTGTAATAGCAGCAGATTTGAGAACACAGCGAACATTTTACAATTTTAATCATTCTGGTTAGAAATTGAATCTTTCGTGTCATATTTTGAGAAGTCTGTACGAAAATTCTGAAATGTAGTTCGTATATATTTCAATAATTCTTTATTCTGAAGATGATTTTGTACTTAAAATGTTGAGACTTTAGCTTGGAAAGTACTGTATGCAAGTTTATTGTGCTTGACCTCTGCGGCCATCAGGGACCTCCTACTTATTCTACAACTCTTGAGTCAGTTCACAAAGTAAGATTACAGTCAAGCTCAACATGGTCTTATTTCCCCGCTGGCCGTGGTTTGGCTACACAAGCTTTAAAAATCAAACAAACTGTGCATGGATGGTTTAATAGTATGTTTTACAAATCACACGTCAATTATCAATAAGAAAAAAACCTTAATGCAAGTTAGAAACGAATCTTCACAGAACATTTGTTCACAACAAATATTTTGAATGTAAAAGGTAGATTCTTATCATATCTAAAAACATTTTTGAGTACTAAAAAAGTAGAGTAAAATCGAAGTCTGCAAGTTCAAATGTATCCTGTTGAACTTCTTCATGAATGACGGATGCAAAGGACAAATATCTTCTTCCGTTGAGAACGCAAGGACAGGGAGCATTTTTCAAATGGAAAGAGGAAATTCAGAGAGAATTTTGTAGGATTGACATGAAGGTTTGTGTGAATTAAATCAAACCTTATAATGTCTGTTCTCTTGCTCGTTTTGTTTTATTCACAAATTTTGAAATTAGTGGCTGCGAAAAGTCTATGAGGAAACACTGTATAGATCGTTACGAGCAATTGCTCACTGCAATTGACATGCATATAATCTAACGATTGTACGAGGCCATGGAGACACACAGCTGAAGGCAATATGTTCGCACGAGCTGATTGGCATGTTTGGAGCATTTACTCTCACTCTTCGGCTCTCGTGACGAAGTGAAATATGCGAGAAGTTAAAGGAGTGCAGGACATTCTACGCTCGCGTGACAACATTTTCTTATCATTTTTGGGCTCAGTACCTCTCGAGTCAGTGTACTGGACCAGCTGTACAAGCTTGCTGGTTCAGTGTCCAGAGCAAGAAGTCTGATTCTTCTCAACCTTGCAGTCAATTCTGACGAAAATCCACCGAAGATACTCGATGCAATGAGAGTATGTGACATACTCTTATTGCATCCGTCAGGCCAAAGATGGGACATACTGTATGTCCCATCTTTGGCCTGGACGATCACACGGTGTCAATACTCGTTTGAGTCGAAGATAGAGGTCTTTGTATTATTACGTGATCATTCGTCTTCTATCGCATGAAGCCTAACGTGAATCCTTGCTTTCGAAGGATACGCGGCGGCCGGGAGTGGATTTTCCGCAAAGGTCGAGGTCGACAGGTGAATCCTTGCTTTCGAAGGATACGCGGCGGCCGGGAGTGGATTTTCCGCAAAGGTCGAGGTCGACAGGGCAATGCCACGTGCAGGTAAAGCTCTTAACAACCTACTTGTCAAAATCAGTGCAGAACTCGCTTTTAACCTTCTCAAGTGCTTGGAGATCGGACTTCACGCGCAGATACCAGTAGATCAAGACCTGATATTCGGCAATGAGTTTTAGATTTTTAGACCGACCTGACATTTAATCATCTAGGGAGTTAAACCTCCCAATAATGTGTCACTTCAGTCAATGAGAGTATGTCACTGGTAAAATAAAAATTCTGGACATAAAATTCCAGAATAATTAGTTTCTAATTTGAAAATTTGTTCAATAAAAACATCATGACACTATTTCCACTAGGTACATGATACTATCCACTGTAATTTAGGAGTTAAAATTAATATCATTCCTAAGGACTCTGGCATACATATATTTGAAAGTCTATCTCAACAAATCATTCTTTCTGGGTTTCAATAAAATATTTCATTACATATATTATCATCAATTGTTTCACTGAGATTTTTATGTACTAATCTAAATTCAAATTTAATTATAAAATTTATGTTAATCTTCGTGAACAATACAGATGTGCAAATGAAAACGATTTTGAAACCAAACAACACATTTATAGAATCTCCTAGTATTGATGTAATGTACAATAATAAATCTATGAAATGTCTTTTCATAATTGACAGGTCCCAATAGTGACATCTAACACCACTTTATGATATTATTAGGAGGTTATATTCAAGATTAGACATTCCCAATAGTGACATCCAACTCTAACACCAACGTATGTTAGTATTAGAAGCTTATATTCAAAGTTACACCTCTCCATAGCACCAATGTAAGTCACTGTTGGGAGGTTTAACTCCATAAAAGAATTAACTGGCCCGAGATAAGCCTACTAGAGAACCAAATTCTAAACCTGGAAAAACACACAGAGTTCTCAAGTATCATGCTGTCCTACTGTACGTGAGCTAGCCTGTTATGGTCTGCATCACTTACTCCCGAAAGCTTACATCTTTCCTCGATCGGTCTGCGACGCACGATTTTGTCAATAGATCTGTGCATGTAACCTCTCTGACTTGGTTCAGTGCCCACGTTAATTAAGCTTAGCATGGTCTACAGGAAACTTGCACAAAGGCCATGCAGTTCCATCGGATGCTCCTCGCCAATATCCTCGAGCCCAGTGACGTTTACTTTCTACCTCATCCATACATGCATCTGCTCATGCCA